ATGCTAGTATTATGTTTGTTATCCGTCCGTTCGACGGCACCCGCGTCACGCCGGCTCCGATAAACTGGCAGATTTATTACCGCACCGGCCCGGATACGCGGGTATTCGAATATGTTCGCTAAGACGCTGGGACTTGCTTATCCGAAATCCGAGTGGATGCTTGATATTTCAGCGCTAATCATGCGTAATGCGTATATTTTATGTACGTTTTTTTTATTTGATATTTTCTTAAGACTTTGACTGCCAATAAAAAACTGTTGAAGGTAAATCCTCCGCTAACGCCGGTCACGGGTGACCCCCATGGCGTTTAACTTGTTAAAATATATTTCGCGCAAAGGCTGTCATAACAAAGTGTAATAAGAAAAATGGTTAGTGTATAGGTAATCTAAATAAAGTTTAGAAGTCAAGGGTTAATTTAATAGTTTATTCACGTAGGTAATCACATTTTTAATAAAAGTAAATTATTCTAAAACAGTTTTGATGTTCTTTAACAAGAACGTGAACATGATTGAAAAAGTAAGTAACCTATGGAGTTTCTTGCTCGTTCTTTTCCATAGGAATCTACACTTTGGAACGAGCAAATAGATTCACTACAGACTGACATTTTTTCTTATTATTTAATATTTAAATATTTTGCTTTGATGTTCAAAACTGCCTTCCTGGTCTAATTGAAATATGTAAATGATTTTGACTTTGACTTTGACTTTGACGTGGAAATCGTTCACAAACACGATGACATAATGGCGTCTGATAACGTCACATCAAACACTCAAAACATCAAATATATTCAGGAAAGCAAGCTATCACATTGTTTACCAACACATCGTCGCCTCCACGAATTCACAAAAACTGTCGTTGGCCAAACACTGGCAATTGAATTATAACTGAGTAACTGAGTGATACGATAATGTCGTGAAGATAAAATCGTACGCACTGCCGCAATCTCTTACGCAACTTTTGCACGTAAATCATGCAACTTGGATCAACTAACGTTCGCGTACACACTTCAACTTGTCCATTAAAAACAATAACACAATGGGGATTTGTTAATGTTAGCTCTGTCTTCTATTAACTTGACTAATGGCGCGCTCCTGCTGCACATATCTATTGCCCTTTTATACTTATAAGATGCTGATTACTGACAAGCTAGTCGTATATCTTTCGGAGTCGCGGAGAACCTCAAAGAGCCATCAGACCACCACGGATGGGGCCCAACAGGGCTGATGCCGATTCGGAATTGCAGAGAACCTAACGGGTTACCGGGGCTCCGGTTCGACGTGCAGGAGACGGAATGGGGTGGTTTTTAGTCAGTAAGTGTCTGACACGCTCTCCCGCCTCATCCAGGCGGGAGCAGTCATTCGATGATTTTCCCCCCTTAAAAAAAAAGTCGTATATCTTATTTGACATTCTATGAAATTTACAGTGCATGTGAGACTTTTGGGTTATTTTTTATGGCTATTGTTTGTTATAGTTTATCTACTCTAAAACCTTTTCACTGAACCGTAATACTGTTTCCTAATAGCCAATAAACATGCGCATTCAAAATACTTGTTACGTGCTCTCAAATATTATTTTAAAACAAACATAGCAGTAAATATGAATAGCTTTTGTAAGAACAAACACAATCCCGGAATTGAATCCGGAACCGCCCAGTGAGTTGAGATAACATAAAGTTCTGTAAGAAAACGAATAGAGCATTAGAGCATACTTTTGGGACCACGAGTATTACGTTTTAGTTTTTATTGATCAAAAATTCAGACATCCAACAATCTGTCAATTGAATAGGTAAAAATATAAAAGGCTTTTGTCAGCACAGAATTAATCATTTGTACTTCACAAAATATATATTGCAAGCCACAAAAAATAGCATTTTGATTAAAATGTATGAAAAGTTTAGACAAATTGAAACAGTTTTGCAACAAATGAACAATTTTTTTACAAAATTTACGTATTGTTTGATCATCTATATATACTGAAGTTTGTTTTGCTTCGATGATATATCTGTTTTCGTTGTTATTGGAACGCACTGCCTCTTGTGTATAAAAGTTTTCAGCGACGTATATGATATTGTGAGACGCATAAACGCGTTAAATATCGAATGAAGTAAACAATGAATTAATAGCTGTAACACAAACACTGGAAGTGAACAATAGGACTGACTTCCTGGTGCCTGTCGAGGAATCGGATATTTCCATTTGGAGAATTTGGAAGCATTCAATTTGTCTGCTCACTTACGACATTTGTGTTGTAACATAATACACAGGCGTACACAAACACACACTACACAGTACACAGGCTCACACAAATACCTCCCTTTAAATATGGATGCCAGAGCTTTAACGGCACTTATATTTAAGCTTGTTTATGCACAAAGCTAAGAGAGTTTTAGTGGCACGCTTCGCATGTCTTCACCCTGGTACTCAGGCCAACTTAGTTCTTCACAAAAATATGTTCGAACATTTATAAAAATATTTAAACTGTTGTAGGTCGCAAGGATGTATATTTGTGAAATTGTGATACATTGAATTGACGCCGTTACAGCGTGAAAATTGTTGCCGACTTTAATATTATGGCGCGCAAATAAAACCAGTTTACTAAATCCTACCCATTACCGAACTTAAATCGTATGAAACATTGTTTCAACAATACCGTGGGTGCTTTAATCGATTAAACGTTCAAACAATTTTAGATTTATTCGCAAAACAGAATTTTAATGAATCATGAAATTGATTAATCGTTGTCTTCGCATTGCGCGTAATTCAAATCATACATTAATGGATTCATCTCGACCACAAAATGACTATTAAAACTTTGGAAAACAATATTTTAAAGTCATATTCAGAGTATTATAATTTATTATTTCCTTAAAATAAAACTACCTAAACCTTAATGCATACCTATTGCATTTAAACACAATATTACACTTCAAAAACAAAAACACCTCACATTAAGAAACCTCGCGTCGCCACACAACTTCCTACATAGTCCCCACATAAACCTTACAAAAGTGGCTATCTACCGCGCCCTGTAAACGAAGGAAAGGCGATAATTCAGCGATAGAGCCTGAGAGCCTTCCAAGAGGGCGGAGGTATCGATCTCAGGGAGGGAGGACCTCTGGCCAGGATCCAAGGTGTCCACTGGACCAGTCCATGTATCTCTCGCCTCAATTTACCGACTCTCGTTTCGGAAATTCGGAACAACATATAGTTTTACACACAGTTTGAAGGGGCTACCATTGATTCTGATGTCCCCTTTGTTTTTATTGTTATTGCGTGTGTAAGGGATGAGGATGGGATCAGCTGGAGTCGAGGTTTATTTTAAGATTGTTTTGAAGATCGAAAGGTACTTTGGTCACGCAATTATAGAGGGAAATAAATTGCAAAAGCTTAATAATATGATACTACCATGACGTAAAAAAGCTATGTTAGGTAGCTTGTTTTGTTACACCATTCGCTTCAGTATATATCCAATACATTTGATCCTAAGGTACAAAGACCGAACTCATGTAAAACTGACTAGTAGCAGTATCTTATCTCCTCACAAAAGTCGGAAGTCATACAAATAAACTTTTATGAATGTTTTTAGACCACGCGACTCTATCGGTACTTACACAAAGGGTAGTTAGTACGTATTTACCTATGTGTGTACAAGAATATAAGGGTCAAATAAGTAAGGGTCGCTAATAAAGCGATAAACTGCTTTTGACATATTATATGCCTTAGTAAAATTCACAATAAATAGAAGTACTGTACCAAAATATTGGCCTATTGATAAGCAAATAAAGGCAAGAGCTACAGCTCCCGCTTACTATGAAACTCAAAGCTACCAGGGCTTCACACCGGCCAGAAGATCTCGTAAACTGGCGAAATTCCGTCAAATTACGGAGAGGTTAATCCAGGGGCAGCAGCTGTTTGATAAAGCCCCTTGGCCATAGCTAATGTAAATTCCGCGGCTTCACCGGCGAAGAATGCCGGAGCCCTAAATAAGTACACTTCAAAGTACGTAGCGAGTGCCTTTTCCTACACAAAGAGCCAATTACATAATACCAGCCCTCACAGTTAATGACGTGATTATGTTCCACGAAAAAATTACGCTTCTTTTTTCACCATGTATAGCGTTTTTGGGTTTTCGTACGGTTGAAAGGAATATTTTGCATTATGGAATTAAATTTTTGTACGACGACGAACGTAAATTAATTTACTAGGAAAATGTAGGTGATGAAAGGCTGGTTTGGCGTCGATGAAGTTGTATTTACATTAATATTATATTATAAAACACTAGTGAGTAGTCTGTAAATTATGCGGTAAACCTTCTTAAATAGACGGTCGCTACAGAAGAGCCCATTACTAGATAATGAAGTAATTTTATAACTAAAATTTCTTTTGCCTTCTAAGATTGCAATATTACATTAATATATCAGTCATAAAATGGCGAACCACCTCTGACGTTTTCTAAATAAGACTTACACAAAATTGCTTGATTTAAAATTATTCTTCAGAAAGCTTCTCTTCTTTTTATTCTTAGTCAGACGCAGTAAGTGCTGCGTCTTAATTTATATTGTACGTCAAAATACCTCACAATTTTTAAGAAAAGACCTTTGTTGCCGGCCTCTTGTTGTGGTAATGTTTTTGTACAATATATATTTTTATATTTTTACCGGTATAATGGCACCAATGATCGACAGTTTTAGAAGGTGGTGTGTTTGTTTCTTAGATTACGAGTATTTTATTATGTTTTAAAATAAAAGTGACGTTGTATACGATAAAATATGTCCTTGAGATATGAATAGGCTATATTTTCATTTTTAAATATGATGTGGACTAGTATTAAAACCAAAAATAATAAATATTAATAAAATCCCCGATATTCGACACTAGAACTCCAATAATCGACACCCAGTTATCGACAATTACCAGTTATCGTCACCCAGTTATCGACTATTACCCGCAATGAGACAGTAGACTGATTTGATACATTAGTTAGACCGTAATCAAAAGGAACAATTCAGTAAGTATTAATTTATTTGTCTTTTATGTTTAGGTACTCATACATTGTTTTTATAAAATATGTCAAGTCTAATAACACTGACTACAAACTTTAAAAATCTTCACCAAAATAAGCTTTAATCTTGAATACTGTTTTATTTTGATAAAACTATACACTCTGATAAGATTAAATAAGTACAAATTAGGGAAATCAACAATAGTTACATATTTATTCAATATTATTTTGCTCTAACCAAGGGTTGAAAACATTAGTCACATATTCATAGAAGGTGCTGCTGCACATCCACCCACTTTCTGACTTACCTATTGCCCATTCATCGGGAACACTAGCAGCAACTGACGAAGGAATTCGTTCATAACTAAATACGATCATTGGAGGGGCAAGGACTCCGGCTGCATTTCCCGTGATAAGGACAGTAAGGTTGTCCTTCTCATCACCACACTTACTATAAGGGTGTTTATCTCCTTTTTTGCAGATAACACGATCAGGTTTCGGCGACAAGAAAAACGCGCTTTCGTCTGCATTGAATAGCCTGTGTGGGTTGTTTAGAATATTTTTTAAGTTATGTTCTTCTAAATAACTTTCGATTTCTTTAAACCAGGTCCTAATGTTATCCTCCGATACATTATCTCGAGCTCTCGACAAGTTATCTGGTACTCTTTGTGACAAGTTTGGATGTCTTTTCATGAATGAGTGAAACCATTTCTTACCAGGCCTATTATTAGTAAAAGGATTTTTCCTGTTTTGATTAATTATTAGTTTTTGAACACTGTCCAGTAGACAGTCTTTAGTTAGGGGAATATGCTTTTCAGCTAAAGTTAATAACCATTTTTCTAAAATTTCTTCTTCTACTTTTGTTAAGATGGTACTTGGCCCCATACTACAACCAATGGAAGTTCTTCGTGTTATTTTGTCATGAAGAGTAATTCTTGGTACTCCGAAACGTTGCGCAGCACTTGCTATCTTTTCTCCATTCTTAACAGCTTCAACTGCTTTTTCAATCTGGTCGAGAGTGTAGTTTTTTCTCGGAGCCATCTGTAAGAATCAATTACCTATTACTGGTAACTTAAATATCTACCAATTCGGCAAAGAAAAGATGACCGTCGGTCACCGTATTCTCTTGTCAAATGTAACAAATAATTAATGGAATTGCAATGTGTCGAAATGGATAAGTATTTACCTAGTATTCATGACTTAAATTTGACTTGACTTAAATTCAATATAAGTACTTAAGTCATAAAAAATTAAGCAATTATTTTAAATTCAAATCCAAAAATAATTTATTTCACAGTTAAACAAATTTTATTTTTATAACAGAAAGAATTATTATCAGTGTAATATATTTAATGTATAAAATACCTACTAAATTTAGTTTATAAAATGTATGTTCCTTATTAAATGTAGTTTTTTTCTTGGAGACATCTGTATGAACCAATTATCGACACATTTCAATCCCATTAATCGACATCGTGTCGAATACTGGTAACTCTACTTTAATCAACCTAATTTAAATATCTAACAATTCTGCAAAGAAAAGAGAACCATATTCTGTGGTTACACAAAAATATAATTTTAATAAAATTATTATCGACACTCGTCGATGATTGGAGCAAGTCAATTTCTAAGGACCAGTAATCGACACGGGCAATTTAGGTTAAAAAAATAACCTCCTAACTTTTTTTATAACATAAATCGATCTTATCATTCCCATAATACGGCTTAAAAACCATCAAATTAATATAAGTTTCAATATATGAAAATAATGAACATATTTTGTACTTACGTTCTTACAGAATCCGCTTAGAAATGCCGTTATTTTATGAGGAACACTAGCCGAACTAAGTTCTCACACGGCCATTTGTAAAAAAAATGGCGGATTTCTTTCAAATGTCACTGGATGACAGCAGGAAGCGTATTGTCTGAGCCACAGTATAGCCATATTAAAAAATCGTATTATAACTCTTATTTTCTCTAATTAGAGAAAAAAATTGTCGATCATTGGAGCTTGTCGATCATTAGTGCCACTACGTTATGTCTGTTGTTATTGTTAGATTGTTTGTCAATTAAGGAATCATTATTAAACTCGAATGTGTTCCCTTTATGTCAAACGTCACCTGGCTTTTGAAAATAGTCTAATTAATTTTTATGTTACAATGTTAAACTAACTATCAACAGCGATCCGAATATAAACTTATTATTGCAGTTTGTAAAAATAATCAGTTGATTTAGAAATGAGTCTGTTGTTCACGTAGTAAAATTAATATGAATTAATTGAGGTCTGAGAATACTGCGGCGTCTCTGTCAATTTACCGGAACGAAACTTAGAGGGGTGTGAGGGAGGAGTCTCAGGTTGATCTCGCACGTCTATCATCTGGTTTTGTTTCCTCCATATTTACGCCGTCTCATCATCTATTATGAACATTAATACACCTGCCCATAAATACGGCCTAGTGTCCAACTTTTTGCCTCACATTATGTAAGTGGCGAGCTTTGTGTGGCGGCTTAACGCTAACCGCCGCGTTCGTGGTTAGCTCCGACGTGAACGCACGCGTTTGCGTCCGTTGAACAAAGGGATTTCAACCTGGAGGGCCTTTGATCTCGACCCATTAAACTGGGCTCACAAAACCGAGCAACACAAGTTTATATGTGATACACTACAATTAAGTCTTATTAAGGCTAGGCCTTTACTTGTTTTAAAGCAAAGTTTACAAGTCAAGTATTTCAAGGACGCTGGGCTTGTGTTCATTTTAATGAGCGTCTGCTCTTAAATCAGGTGTCCACACAAAAATACAACGGGAGATTATTCTACTACTATACCAATGATGACTCATTTGGTATCACGCTGTATACTGGGACTGTAAGTATACATTTAGTACGGTAAATACAATCGACACGGAAACAGTAACTGCTCGCTACGGCGACTGTACGTAGGTGGCAGCACAATACACACCTCATTCGCCTTCCATTGGCATTCAACACTCGGCCGGCCTTTGTGCAGTAATTGTAGGCTCTTTGATTAATGCCCTAATCTAGGAAATAAAAGTACAGCCCAGAAAAAATACATTAATAACAAACGTCCATTTAATACATTCGCCCATTTCCTACAATTTATTACAATTTGGGTTTATTCTTACGGCATACGGTCATAATTACATTATTCAAATGGAATTTTCCCCGAGGGCGTGTAATTATCCACTCTATAAATTAATTTGGAAGCGTTCTGCCATGAATTATTCAATTTCTATGGTGACCTCGGGAGAAGTGCTTCGGGTCAATATCGAATAACAATAAGATTGCAGATGTTTTCCTTTGTTCAGCCGAACTGCTTTCCCGTGGCTTCAAGTGGGCGGCTGGATTAGATTCCAGCTGATGGAATTATTAATGGGTACCTATCTGGTAGTCGTCGCACTGTGGTCGGGAGAGATTCGGCCGTATTGGGCCTTTGTTATCATCACGCCGTACTAATAGAACAGCAAAGAAAAAATAGAAAGTGTAGGTACATTAAGAAAGAAAGAAAAGATAGGTCACTTTAACTGATGAATAACCCAGTTAGGTCACTGAAAGTTAATTGTCTTCAGACAATAGAAACCTCTCAACTACCACTACATACAGTTGTCTGCACGGTTGGCGTGGTGGCTGTTCAACTGACTGCCGCGCAACGTGTCGCGGGTTGGATTTCTGTACGGAACAACTCTTTGCATGATCCACAGGGTGTCATGTGTATGTGAACTTGTATGTTTGTAAACGCATTACATCCCACACAGGCGAAACCCTAGGGTAAGGCATAGTTAAAAAAACAGTTTTTAATGATAACATCGAATTTAATTAACGTCTATAGCCTAAACGATAAATTGTCCATAACAACAGCGTGAAATATTGCCTAGCCTAGTGATTATTTTAAATCAAACTAGTTAAGGGAAGCTGATAGTGCGTGGGAGCCAGACGAGCACTCCACTAAATTAAACTAATAACAAGAGGAGTGTTATTGCCCTCCGTCTCCTATCCTGTCACAATAACATGTCTCCTCTACGAAATACGTCACAAGGAATTAATGTATATAACAAGATACAGTAAACAATTACCAACAGGACTCACGACCTTCAAACCTTTAAGAACAGATCGCATTTCCTTAAAGGCCGGCAACTGACTTGCGAATCTCGTAGTTTTTCTTTTTGAAGTCGGTTAAAAAATTTGGGATGTGGTATGTTTTTTTGAGAGGGGACACTTTTTTTATCCCAAAAAAATCTTATCCTCCAAAAACCTATTCGGCTTTTGTAAGTTTCTCCCCTTAAAAAGGCCGGTTAATACAACGACATTTATCTGATCTTCTAAAACCTTTACACGATAATACACGGTATAATTAATAAGTAAGTCACCCCAGTAAATCAAATACTTTCACAAATGAACCAAAAACGAGAATTAATTACGTATATCATACGTCCCCAGTATCTAATGAAATCCTTTTTCTACATTTCAAATTCAATAGTTACCATCAAATGAAGTGCAATAATTGGATATTGGGAAAACACCAAAATGAATGAACTGCTTGTCAAATAAATATTGAATCTAGAAACATTATTAATTTCGAGAGGTTTATTAAAAGATTTCGTCCCAATGTTTTGCGAGAGAAGTCTTAAGAATAAACTGATATACAGAGTGTTTGGAAGGTTGCAAAATCTGTCCTTTACATATTCTACAGGGTACAAAATGGCGGCTTAAAAATGTTGTAAATGATTTATGGCCGTACTATTTAGAATATTTTTAAGCAAAACTAATCTAAATGAAGTCTGCTCTTTTTGTCTACTAGGCTTCTACCCTCTTCAGGTTTTACGATTTTATTTCTACGTTCCAAACCTCCTTTAGGTATTATAACTATGGAATTATGTAACTCTATGTAGTTGCGTACTACGATATATCAAAGTCTGCTCATATATTATACTATTATATAAAGCGGAAGTGTTTGTTCTTTTGTTTGTTTGTTTGAACGCGCTAATCTCCGTAACTACAAGTCTAATTTGAATAATTATTTTTGTGTTGGATAGCGCATTTATTGAGGATGGCTATAGGCTATCAAACATCACGCTACGACCAATAGGAGCTGAGCAGAGCGTGTGAAACCGCGCGGAAGTTGCTAGCACTTCAATATAGATAACAAAGCTACAATTGAATTTTACAATTTAACGATATGTACAAAAGGTTGGTAGTTCGCTCAGAAGACGTAATTTGCCGCTGGTGAACGTACCGTGAGCTTCAACATCGTCTGTCTCACCGCCGTCTGAATTGGAAGCTAACGCTCGTGGTGGCCGGCAGAGGGCGCGTTGGGCTAGATGCGCACGTAGCAACATCGATGCAAGCGCCAACGCCAGCCCGTAGGCTGCGCGACATCGCCGCGACCGTGCACGCTGCTCATGAGAAAAATCCCCTCTGTGGTTGGAAACTAGTAGAGCTTTTCTCAGTATATTCACGTGAGTAACCCGCGATTTTTAGCTAAGACGTAATATAGTAAGCGTAAGCGCTAGAGAAGTAACTCACAGCTTCGCATGTAATATAATAAGCGCTCCATCGTATCACACGTCTAGCTTCGTCGTACATATTCTAAGTTATGCATGACTTAAGATATTTTACTTAACAAGTTTAGTCTGGATCAAGAGCTTACAGTTACGTCGCTCTAATTGTATAATCGTATTTATTAAGACCTCGTTGTAGCTGATTATGGAGACGCGATTATAGAGAACTTCAATCCTGTAACACCTATTATACTTTGGATGCGTAGCTGTGTAACTACAGTAACTACACGTTTATTAACTTTTAATGCATACAAAAATAAGGTATAAAGACGGCGGACTTAATACCATATGGTATTTTCTCCCAGTCAAAGTCTGTAGACTATAGTGTATCACGGGCCTGCGGGCAATGAGAACTAGAGCTCGCACGCCTTAAGGAGCCATCAAACCAACACATGGGGCCTAATAGGGCTGATGTCGATTTGGAGCCGCGGAAAATTTAACAGGTTGTCGGGGCTCCGGCTCGAAGTGCAAGAGTAGGAACGGGGTGGTTTTTAGTCAGTACCTAAGAGTCAGACACTCCCTCCCGCCGCCGAAGACATAGGATGATCTTCGCCCTCAAAAAAATGCTGTATCCCTGCCCCACAAATCGATCCCTTTAACCGCTTTGACATGATTTAGTAACAAACATACAACCTCTTATACATTCGCACTTATAGTATTAGTATGATTCCCTGTTCGGCAATCACTAAAATAATTCAGAAGTCTTTTAAATCAGCCATGTGTATGAATAATATTAAATAAACGACGTTTTTCGACGTGACAACACAATTTCCATGACAGGCGACAATTTAACGATATATTCAATCAGGCAACATCAATTTGATTTTACGTTTTCGAAGCTAGAACCTTTTTATTTTATTTTATGTTATAACGATGTAAATTAAAAATAAATCAAATCTTCTATATTTTTATATTTTGTTATCTATGATTTTGATTTTAAGTTGAAAATATTTTATTAGTCCTAGTCGTAATATCTGTGTCTAAAACTAATTTTTAGTTTGTATATTTTGTTTCTTTACGTTAAATTATAGTTAGTGTAATTGTAGTTTATTTATATCTTTCATCATCAGCACCGATAACACTCAAAGAGCAATGGTTCAAAAGCTTTGCGTTCCCGGGACTATACATAGTAACCACATCTTGAAAACTCAAATGACATCATCGTCATCAGCTGAAATCCGTCCACTACCTCACAACACTACCTAACAAAGGCCTCCCTCTTATCAAAGGGCTTGCCAAAATCTTCATGCAGGTTTGGGGATCGTAGTTAATCAATGAAATTTTAAAAAAATACTGCTGCTCTGATCTAAATGTCTTTCTTTTGAAGGGGGATCATCCAGTGATTTCTCACGCCCGAGTGTGGCGAGACTAAAAACGACCCCGTTCATACTCCTGCTCTTCGAGCCCCGGCAACCCGTTAAGTCCTCTGCAGCTCCAGA